TATTACTCATATTATTGTGTATTAAAAGAAAATATTGTAATCTTTGGTCACAATTAAACTATGCCAATAAAAATATCTGGAAACACTTATGATGTTGATCCCATAATTGAATTTTAAAAAAAAGTATAAAAAGACGGGTTAACGTGGCATAAAAACACATTCGCACATATCATCATTCAGAGTCACTTAGTTCATCAACATCATTAGTGTGAAAAGACACATTTTAAAAAGAAAAAAAAAATACTTATTCAAAGGTAAGCAAAAAATTCTGAATATAAAATTTTAATGTAAATGATAGACTTTAAACTCATTTCTAAATAACTTTTGGAGTTAAAAAAATTCTACAATTGAAATATACAGAATTTAATTAATTTTAATGATTTATTTTAACTAAAAAACCAATCAAAAAGTTTTTAAAAAAATCTTATCGATTGAGCGTATTATAAAATGATATATATAGCAACATTTTACCAAAATATTTTGAATATTATTGACTGGTAGTAACACACCTAAATAGAGTTAAAAAGTTAATTAATTACAAAGAAAAATTATTTAATTTTGTAGTTGAAACCTATTATCATAGCAAACCTAATTCGACAGAATATACTCTAATAATATTAGAAAGGAATGAATTTAATTGTCATTATGGAAAAATCTGTTTAAGTAACTTTTTGTTTGATAAAGACAATTTTTATCAATTTTTGAGGGCAATATCTTTAACTAGTTAATAGATGTGATCATTTGATGTATCATTAAAAATAGTTATTCAATTGAGAGCTAAGAAAATAAATGTGAGCCACAAAAAAAAAGTAATCACTTAATGAATTAACTTTAATATGAAAAAGAAATTTCTTTATACGAGGGGAGACTACAATGTGAAGTGCAAGATATTCATTGAGTTATTCTATCTAAATAAGATAAAAATCAAATGAGTTCGAAATTTTTTTCTATCTCAAAAACCTTTGTAAGGTATTTTAAAATAAAATAAAATATTAAGTCGAGAATTTAGAAAAAAAAATAGCATATTTTTGAATACAGTACTCATTTTCAGCATGAAGACAAACTAAAGTTCAACATTTTTTTTTTCATTTTAAAGTATATTATATTAGCTTTAATTTAAGGTATAAATTCACTCCTCCTTAGACAGTATTTTATACTATGAATCTTACAAGTTCAAAATTTTACCCTTGGTTGGTTAAAAACCAATTGTTTTCGTATAAAGTATACTAATTATTACAGTATTATCAAAAATGGATAGTACCTATAATTAAAAAAAAAAAAATACTTTCATCTTCACTATCGAGATGAATTTTTCATATTGTGGAAAATAAATAAAATACTGATGTGAACATAAGCTGATTTAATTTTTAGTTTTATCTGTATTTTAAAATAATCAGTTTTAAGCACTTTTCTTGCAAAAATTTTAAATAATAATTTTAGAACGTGTTATTATTAAATTACTAATATTTCAATAAATAAATTGGGTAGTTTTTTTGATTCATAGATATCAAAGGTTCATATTATATTTGACAGTATTTTTTAGTTTTCATGCACTTACTTAACATTTTTTTTTCAACTTAAAAAGCTTGCAGTGATTTTGAAAATAATAAAAATTATATTTTTGATTTGTAATTTATAATACTGTAAATTAATTTTGAATTTTATAACATTTACTTTAATTTAAGATATTAATTGAATAAATTGGTAGAAACAGCATTAATGCTACAATGTTATGAAATCAAAAAAACGTCGTTATAGAAATTTTTTTTTTTTCCAAATATGTCTAAAATAGTTGAAAAATACTTAATTGTAAATTGAAAAGATCTTGAAGTTACAAAATTTTTCTTAAAAAATATTAAGTTTAACTTTTCTTTAATTCAAAATATGTATATAAAATTACTATTTATTCTTAAAACTTTATGGTAAATGTTTATATGTCATAACGATGTATATTTATTTCGACCTTTATGCTGCAACAATATGTATTTTAATTTTTGCAATTTTCAGAATGATAAAAAACACATATTAATCATACAGGTTTTAATAGAATAGGTGATTTTACTTTAAAATTTAAAAAAAAATGGTTATTTTGTTTATTATTAAAAACAAATAATAAAATTTTTTTCATATAGTCTAAGAATGCATAAATAATTTTAAACAAATTACATCAAAATGTTGATATTGTATGTTATAGGAGTTTTCAGTTAGTACTGTTCTTCTTTGTATAATAAAAACCATCTAGAAACAATTATTATACCATCTTTTATATTAGTATCATTTTGTTTATTTTTGAGACACACACGGTTGCAGTATTTGTGACGATTTCTTTAAACATTCACGTATATATAATACTTCATGAGAACTTGTATAACAAATGTTATGACCCGTATTACTATAGTATTATTGTAGTGGGTAAAGTTAGTTAGTTAATTAGTAAGTGGACAACTAGTGGTTTGGGTAAGCTATTTCAATTTTGTTCGAATCGTTGTTGAATAAATATTAATTAAAAAATATGTGTCACTTAAATATAAATTTGTTAATGAAGACTATCTATTTGTAATTTATATAATAATAACTGTCAATTCTAGAACTTAAATTATATTATTGTAGTTATTCGTAAAGGTTAAGTGTGTTTTAATTCATATTACAACCTTCTTTCCTCTCCAACACGTTACCGTGTCTCATCCTAGGTGGGGCGCAACACAAAGATGTTTAATAAATACTCATACGTTGAATCTCCAAATAAAACATTGGGTACCTTAAAAAAAACTTAAAAAATTAATCCTTTTCATAAATTAGCAGTTCGCATATCGATATAATTAGGTTAAATACCTAACTATTTTTATAAAACACCTTTATACTTACCATTTATATCCTTATAAAAAAGCCTATAGAAAGAGAAACTTGGGATAATTCAATGAGAATAATTTTATAAAAAAGTATTTTACATCTAGTGCAATTACGTAAGTATAAAAATTTCAATGTATCAATGTAAAGACATTAAAAAAAGAAAATCGGTATTTTAGAAATATCCCATGATACTGATTTTATTTATTGATTGTGCAATAAAAAGTCAAAAAAGACCCCTAGATTTAAGAATTATAATGCAGCCGCATTCTTCGCATTACCAACCTATTTACATTATTATTAAACATTATTTACACCACTTGTCTGATGTTATATTTTAAAATTTTTATGACTGGTATATTTCTATTAGAATTATTTATATAACGATATGTCATTATGAGGTACGAAAGATTTAGTAGGTATGACTTCATTTTGAACTTTAAAAACATACTATTTTCTCGGCTTACAAAAAAGCAATTCCCATTATTTTATTCTTTACTATTCAAACCCTTCTATAATTATTAATATTCTATATTTCTATGATCGTGTTATAATAAACCACTTGATTACTCGTAAAATAAATACAATAATGGGAAAACATTTTTGTTCTTTTTAGTTACGTATATCTTGATTGGTTGGGTTTATAGGAGTGTCAACTAAATTTTATTAAATGGCAACATACCTAGCTTATAAAAATAAAAACTTATTTAATTAAAATGTCTGGTGGATAATAACTTTTGAACCAGTATTTTAGTAAATATTAACATTTTTATATCTAGGCGGGAGGAGGAGTGAGGTCGAGAAATGTCTAATGTTAAAAATAACAGCACCTCCAGTCGTTACTTTAAATTGTGATAACTTCTAAAACACTAGTTCAAAAGTTCAAAAACACCAGTAATTTTCTAATAAATAAATTAGTTAATTATATGTGTTATCATATGAAAAATTAAAGTTGATACCTTACTAAGGATGAACATAAAAAATACTTCATAATTGATAAATTGAGCAAAAAATGGAACTAAAAGAAACAAATAAAATAATTACCAATAGTATTTTTATTTTTAATTAATTAAGTGGTTCGCGGTATATGAAACACTGTATAGTAAAAATACTACTTGTTAAGAAAATACCTTAGGAAGACTATGATTTTGATTTACACAAAATATTTTAAAACCTTATAAAATTTAAATTATACATATAATCAGATATATTGTTGAGACATTACAAAAACAGAGTAAATATTTTCACTTTAATCGTGATAATAATATGATTATCAAAATAAATATTATATATAATTATTTAAACCTATTTAAGATAACAAATATTAATACAAAGGCTTCAAAAATTGAATTAATAACAATTGTTTTTATTGCCAATGAAATCCAAGCTGACGAAAGCACACAATGAACATATGCTGTACCCTATTAAAAATAACAATAATTTAATCACGACTAGGTCACTTATATTTTCCTGGAATTAGGTACGCTTAAGAGGGGTACGGAATATTTGGTTATTAATCTTCAATTAATTCTAACAGTACAAGGTTTATTAATACAGACAGTTTGATACAAATGCAATATTTTAATATTTCATTGTAGCTAAATATACAACAGATTGACTTCATCTATAAATCTATTAATAACGATTCTTCCGCTTAAAAAAAAGTGAAGTAATGAAAGTATTGTCAAAAATAGTTTAATATCATATACATTATGTATATTCGTTTAGCTTACTAATTTCGTTTTACTAAATGATGAGAGCATCAAAAAAATATATATATATATATATGTGTGTGTGTATAATTCATTAAAAAAGTTATTCTACGTAATTTTTCAGGGTAGGAACTTAATATATATAATTAATTTTCAATGAACTTTCCGTTCAAATTCAATCATTTTATACATCTAAAATATGCTTTGAAATTCTGGTAATGTAATTCGATCCTATCACATTTTTTATCAAAAAGATATCACATACTTTTTATTGCGTTTCTATCTCAAAAAAACTCATTTTGTTTGCTGATCAGTTAGAAGCCTTGAAGTATTGAAGAAAAGTTATTGGAGAGTGAGAAAAACATCGCATCGAAATTACAACAAAAAGAACTGTATATAAGATTTTACTTAATAACTCACTTAATAATATGAATTCCATAATTAGTTTTCACAAATAAATTAATTATTTAATTTATTAGGAGTATAATACACAAAATGAACTATCTTACAAACAAAAAAACATAAGACAATTTAGGAACATAATTAACAAGATGTTTTGGGAATTATCTGATTGCAATCACAAAAAGAAGACTGGATTGGAACTTCAGATGGCAGTGATGACGGTGGTGATGATAAACATTGCGGTGGTGCAACACCAGGTGGTAATGTGGTTAAATAAACTTTGGGAGTTTGTGGATTTGATTGAAAATAGTACTGAGGATAACGTTCACCAGTTGCTGGATTGTAGAATCCTTGAGAAGAATTAGCTGAGTGTGTGGTGAAGTATATGGAAGGTGGTTCAGGGGCTGGCACCACAATTGGCTGAGTTTCCACATTCATTGAGTTTTCATTTATCACTATTGGACCGGGGTTCCGTTGAGGTAAAATAACTGGGGGAGGTGCAGGGCTAAGATCAGGTATCGACACTACAATTGATGGCGGTGGTCCAGATGGTATAATTACAGGACGGGGTCTTTGTGATTTTTTCGGTAAGTTTATGACAATAGGACCAGGAGGTGGACCAGGCACAATAATTTGTGGTGGTGGTGGTGGAAGTGGAGGAAAGTTAGCAACATATGTGGGTGCTGTTTCATGACTGTTAAATTTTGGAAGTAACCCTGCTGAAGAGAGTGTATTGAGTAATGGGTGTAAAACAGATTGTGGAAGTGATCGGATTGCAGTTGGGCAAGTATTAGATATAGCGGTTAGTAATGTTAGTAACGCTGTTGGCTGTGTTTGGCTCAGTACAGTTGGTGAAGAAGTTATAGCATTCAGTAAAGCTAAAAGTGTGTCAGATGATAATGTTTCATAGAGTTGTGGTGTAGTGGATAAGGTGTTTACTATGCTCTCGATCGCAGTCGGGGGCAATGTGTTTAAAGTAGATGAAGAGCATAACGTAGAAAATAAAGTGGCCAGTGGTTGAACTTTTTGACAAGTGCCATGGGAATACTAAAGAAAAAATAACAGATTTATAATTTAAAATTAATGAATACACCAATAAGGTTAATTAATGATATTATGTTATCAATTTAATTATGTGTACCTCAAATAACCCAAAAAAGCACGTGGCTGCAAATACTAGCAGCGTCGAACTCTTCATACCAGACACAAGTTTCAAGACACAAAAGACATAAGAATAACCAAGAAACATAAAGTTTTATTCCTTATATAATGTCTGCTTCGTGACATCTTAAAGAAGAAACAACACAGTAGCGAGAATTCTCAATGATAATAAAAGTAATAAAATGTTAGATTTACAGAAACGTGATAAACAATGATGAGTAATATCGCTTTTATCTTATTGATGACCTAGATTCTCCATAAATACTAAACATGATAAGTTTATTGAAAAAAATAAAAAAATTTGATAAATATATATAAAGAAGATATATATTTATTTATATAATTACTTTTTAAAGAAATATTAACGAAAATCTATGATAACTTATAACGATTGCATAATTTGTTAAATTATATTGTAATATATAATCATGATATTTTACTATAAAATGTATTTCTAGTTAATTTGTATGATAATATTTTTAAAATTAGATACCAAGAAAATTAAAGTAGAAATCATTAATATGTTTAAATAATACATACAAAGTTTTGAAAACCAGATTATCATAATATTTATAAAATAAACTGATTTTATTTATAATGTTATTATTACTTTAGACTAAAATTTGTTTATTGTTTGAATATCATATATCGAATAGGATAACTAATAAACAAATTCTAAAGATAGCTTTTAAAATGAAAAATAAATAAATAAATAAACTCTTATAAAAGAAGAAACATAATTCATGAGGAAGAAGTTTAAAAGTATTTAAAAAAGACAATATGAAATGTCTCGCGTTTATTTTTGTTGTGGCTAGCAGCCTGTTATTCTGTCAAGTAAGCATATCGTAAAATACGTGATAACTAATACACAAAAAGTGTATACAGAGTGTTCAGTACGTAAGGACACAGGTTAATTGTAATAAACAATGAGAACAATAGAAATGCATTTACTTACTTACTGAAAACTCTATATTAACTATATGAAATTAATGAATTACGTTTCAAAATAATTAATAATATTTATTTAAAAAAAAAATTGAAAATATCAACAAATATTACATCAATATTATCAATCAATCAATATTACAATAAAAATAAATAAACTATATTAATTTTAAGTTTAATTTTTCAGGGAGCACAAGGTGATTGCGGGTGTAATGATTTGATTCCAACAGGACCTCCATTACCTTGCCAATCCTCATTACTTGATATACTTAAGACGCCGTGCGCACTTACGAAAATCCCTGTGCCACAACTTCTCGAAATAATCAATTTACTCGCATGTAATCCAAGTTTATTAACTACTCTTCCTCCTCCCGTCGTCGTTGAGCTTCTTGCTTATATAGTTTCAAATCCAGCTATATTAAACGCCATTCCACCACAAGTCCTAATAGCAATAATAAATGCTATAAGCGCAGTTCCAGGATTATTAGCCATCATTCCAGCCGAAGCTTTCCAAGCTCTCATAAATGCAATTCTCAGTGCTAAAGGACTAGCATCTCCATTGCCATCTCCCACACAAGAAGCAAATGTTGTGCTTCCCGCTCCAAAACCTCCAGTAATCGTGCCAGGCGATGCCACCGGACCTATTGTAGTTCAATTACCAAAAGTGTCTATAAAGAAAGCCCCAGTTGTCGTTCCTGCTGGTCCGTCTCCAAATGTAGTGCTAAAACTTTCCCAAGCACCTGCTCCTCCTCCGTGTATTTATCCGACACCGAAACCTGGTCCAGTGATTATTAATGATAACGTTCACGAGAAAAAACCTACAATTACGACAGCGCCAGCTCCATCGCCGGCAAATATCATTATAAAACTACCTCCTCAACAGCCAAGCGGTCCACCAGTGAAATTGCCACCAACTCCATATCCACAAATACTGTACAACCCGGGATACTATTGTGCTATTCCTGATATTGTTCTACAGACTCCACCACCTCCACCAAAATTGTATGCTTTGCCATCCCCACCATGTCCACAACCTAATTATCCCCTTCCTCCGCCATGTCAACAACAACCCCCCGTACTTGCCCCTGTTCCCTGTGCTTGTTAATAACACACATATATGTATATTTAATTAAAACAATATTTTAATACATCGGACGAAATTTTTTAACCATTTAAGTAAACATTTGTTTTTATTTTATTAACTTAAAGTTTTTATAAAATCTAAACAATTAATAAAATTAATAAAATTTGTTAAAATAATATAATTAAAATCAAAATATAGTGAATTCAAAGACCACAAAATTATTCTAAGTAATAAAACATGAATACCTATTAATACAACAATGTTACCATCGTTAACGCTAAACAAACTATTAAACAGAAGATAATTTATTATTCATTGACTTCTATTGATATATTTTTTTTAAATAATATTAACCAAAATATAAATAATAATTTTTATTAATTTTAATTATAATTAAGTATACCAGTTTCTTTTTATAAACCCAATTTATGGTTGGTGAACAAAATACCAAAAATACAATAATTTACACTATTGCATGTCATATTAATTTGGAAAAAATATTAAATAATTTATCGAGCAAACAAATTAATATTTTTACCGATAATTCAATTTGTTTGATGTTCTTTTTTTTAAATAGAAATAAATAAATAAATCCAATATAAAATAGCAAAAAAAAAAGATTTGATATATTATCAATAATATTTATTCAATATAAATTTTTTAAGTGTATATACATTAAATGCATACATAATGAATTATATATATATATATATATATATATTACATGAACAAGTAGATCAACAGCTTGGAATCTGGGCCCAAACTGGAGGTAGATATTGACATGGAGGTGGAATGATAGGTGTAGGAGGACAGGGTGGAGATGGGTTAATGAAAAGATTGGGCAAACTAGCTGGAGCTTGTACAACTATGTCTGGACTGCTAAGGCTGGTTCCTGGTTTGTACAAGATTTGTGGTAGTGGAGCTGGAGGCAATACGATTGGAGCACCGGGTTTGTGGGCTGGCAAATTGAATATAATGTTGCCTGGTTTTGGGGCTGGAACATTTGATATTTGTCCATTTTGAAAGTTAAGGTTATCGTTGATAATGATTGGTCCTGGAGCACAAGGTGGTAATACTACAGGGGCAGATTGGCCTTGTTGAAAATTAAGAAGCAAGTTTGGTGATGGACCACCTGGGACAAATACAGGAGATTTGCTAAGAGATTTCTTTGGGAGTTGGACGACAATTGGCCCTTGAGCTGGTCCAGGGGCGATGATTGGAGCGGGGGCTGGTGGAAGAGCTAAGTTAGCGACTACGGTTGAGGGAGCAGCGTTAGCGGGTAAACCGAGTGATGGCAATACAGAGCTCAACAATGATAGAAGTACAGGTTGAGGGATAAGTGTTAACAATGATGGTGCGGCACTAGCGATGGCTTTGACGAGAGCAAGAATAACGTTGGATGGAATTTGACTGACGATAGCTTGGTTGGAACCTAAAGTGGCCAAGAATGCGATAACTGTGGTTGGAGGTAGAGCAGTCAAGAGGGAAGGATTGGAAGTTAAGAAAGTAAGTAAGTTGATGAGTGCAGATGGTGGGATGGAGGTCAAAAATGATGGGTTGTAAGCGATTGTGTTTAAAAGTTCAATGATGGTTGTTGTGGGAGTAGTGGCCAAAGCGCTTGGGTTACTAAGCAATGGAAGGATGGCAGTTAAGGGAAGGGATGATTTGGAACATGGTGATGGAGCTGTGAATGAGGCTTGTACTGGAGCTAGTGTTGGAGCTGATGCTTCACAAGGGAGTGGAGATGACGTTGCGCATGGAGTTGGTATAGAAATGCATTGAGCATTTAAACCCTATTGAAATAATAATTAATTTTATATTACAAAAAATGTTATATTTTTTTATTAATTTAAATTATATTACTACACTTACACCAATTGAAAGAAGACTTATAGTTATATAAGCGAAGAACATTTTCGGTTGTTTTTTGTTTTTTGATGTTGAGTTCTAATGGATGGAATATATTGTGAAAGTAAAAATTGGTTTTACTTTTATACTAACAAGTATACTGATATAAAAAACTGATAAATTACTGACATGATTTATCTTTAAAAAAAAATTATCATAACTTTTTTTTTGTTTTTTTTTTTGTGTTATTATAATTTTTTGTTGATTTTTGTGCTTCTTTCAAATTTTGTAAAATGTTACAGTGTCACCTTGTACATTATTCATTGTGTCCCACTATTGGTCTAACAAGTTCTGTAACTTTTAAATCATTGATTTTTTTTTTCTTTCTTTTTAATAAATTTATTAGAACTCAGGACTATAATGATAATAAAACATGTTTCATTGTAAAAAAACAATTTAATTAAAAACTAACTCAAAATAACAATTTAATATATTTAACATATGAACTAATTTGGTATCAAAATCTCTTCATAATTTGTTGCGGGTTTACAGGTAAGTCTAATATTTATTTAAAATCTTATAACTTATTATCTAGTGAATACTTTGAGTTTCTTTTTTTTAATAACTTTTTTAGTTTTAAACTACTTTAAAAGCATATTTTGTATTTTAAAAATTAGGATGAAATTTTTAGTTTTTTAATTTTGAAATAGCAATTTTTTAGCTCATTTATTACAATAAATTTTGATGTGTTGATTACAATTTTAGGATAAGTATTTATTGTACAATCAAAGTATATATCATAAATACAAGCTGCACTCACTCGTTCAGGGTCGGTCTTTTTACGAACTGAAATAATGTCTAACTGGCTCAAATTTTTCTATTTAGAAATTATAATACTCAGATATTTGTAGCTTCCGAAAATACAAAATTACATTACGTTATATATTTTTAGAGATATTTTGTCATAGTTAATCAACCACTTGTAGTAATTATTACATAAAAATAGTTTTATTGAATAATATTTGGACTTACTATAAAATTTTTCATTAAACTCGTGAAATCTAACCAAAATCCTAACGCAAATACTGACTGAATAATGACGTTATTAAAGTTATATATATTTTTAAGACAAGGTTTCAGTATGTTTTAAATATTAATAATTAAAACATTGTTTTTGATATAAATATATTCTGAAATATTTTTGTGTATTTTAAATTTATTATTACTACAAATTCCTACTATTTTTTTATTTTATATACAGCAGAAGTTATTGTATTTTTCAAAAAAATTAATAAGTTAATATACGTGCCCTTCTCGTCGTGCTTTATGCAGTCCGACATATAGTCAAAGTTTTTTTTTTTTTGATGAAAATATACAAATGAAAAATTTTCATTACCTCTTTAAAAAAAACGAAAAATTCTTTACTGTGTAATTATTTTTATAGAGAGATTTATTCCATTTCAATATACATTTTAGCACATTATCCCTGCAATTATAATCTTCACTGTGCTTAGCAAAACCTAGTGTCGGTTTTGAATATATAAATCTATAAAGAGTGACTTCTTAAGATATTTCGCAAATATCTATATAGGTATTTACTAATATATCTAGTTTTCTTTTCAAAATTTTCAAGTTTTTTGTATTATAAATTTCAAAATTATACAACGAAAAATCAAAATACTGGTGTATAATAATTTTCGAATCATTGATATAGAAGTCTGAGCTTTCAAAATATGTACATTACCATTTTTGAAAATGAGGTTATTATTATAGTTTTAAGATATAAATGAGAAGGGGAGATGATAAAATTTAAAATAATAATTTATTATTTAATATATGTATATTATAAATAAAATTTCAATTCTATGAAATATTTAAAAAATGTTGAGATAAAGTATAGCAAACTACTTGTATACTCAGTGATGGGAAAGTTCTTCTTAAAAGATAATTAATTTAAATTCAAGTGCATTACCATGAATTTTTTTTTAATTAATGATAAAACTAAAATAATAAATAAATTAAAATGTAAACATATTTTTTTATGCAGGGATTGAGAAATTTATCTAAAAATGAATTCATTCGTTACTTACTTACAAAAAGTTTACTTATGGTTACAATCTTTAAAATTTCTTTATTAAACATATATTGAGCTTAACTAGCATTGATGCCTGTTAGAGTGTTAAGGGGGCTTCACTGAAAGTATTTTTTTTTTATATAATGTCATTATAATATTTTTATAACGTTATTATTATATATAATTTTTATAAATATTATATAAATGTTATTATAACATTAGACATCATTATTATATTTATAATTCATAGCATTTATAAAATTATTTTTTTTAAATTGCTATCTAGGATAGCTCCTTCAAATTTACAGAAAAACTTTCAAAATGAGTTAGAAAATTATAACTTGTTGACATAAAAAATATCTTATTTTCAACTACAACAATAATAAGTCATAAATAGATTTAATCAAATAATCTATTTAAGTTTGAAAAATATAATTGCTTAAACGTTATAACCTAAATAATAATTTTATTCAATAGTATTTATCATAATAATTAGAAAAAGTTTACTAAACAGAATATACGAATTCTATTGAGTTATTAATAGACAGACCAATTTCATTATAATCTCTCTATATACTATTTTATACAAGTTTATAATATTAAACTTGTATAATAACTGATAATTACTCTTAACTATCAGAAATTATCGTTTTATTAATGTCATGTCCGAATATGCATTTTAATTGTATATTATCACCTAAAAATATCATGGCCAATCTCAAAAAAAAAAAATGAATTTTTGTTTCATTTAAAAACACAAATTCGATTTTTGAGATTGCTATGATGATTTTAATTGAAAGTATAGCCAAACAATAATTTGATATTAATAAAATGTATTAAAACCAGCTCAATTTTTACATTTGTTTTACGCATACTTTTTATTGGAGGCCAAAAAATGTTTGGAAACCTACAAAATTTTTTTTTAAATTATCAAAAATTTATCCAACAATAAATAACCTGTTTTGATAAGGCATTTATGTCCCTACCAATTTTTTTTAATTGAAAGATAATGTTGTTAGGAATATTGATAACATATCAAGCGCGCGCTTGTCACTAGAATTATTTTTATAAAAAGTTATATAATAAATAAAGTTATAATATTCAAATTATGTTATTATTTTGAATAATAATGGCAATAAAAAAAAAACCAAACAATTTTTAGAAGAGAAAAAAAAAATAATAGTAGAGGGGAGGATTTGAACATTTTTTAAATTTATGTCCTACCAAATATTTTTGACTATGGCGCCACTGACCATTTTAGACAAAACTCAGTGCGTGTAATATTCAGACTACGTTATATATACAGAAAAGTGAAACCTTCTTGAAGGTTAATGCATTGTCGAAAAAGACACTCGGTGGTCTCCGTACGCCCCTAGCCCACAGTGGGTCATAGTTCAAAATAATTAAAATTATAGTAACTGGAATGAACTATTTTTATAATACTTGATAGACTAAATATCAGTATATGTCTGGATGACCTAATAATACCCATAATATTTTTATACCTTTCCTGTTGCACACAGTATCTATACAGGGTGTTCAGTAAGTCAGGAAACGGGTATCTATTGTTCTCATTGTTACAAACAATGAGAACAATAGAAACCCGTTTCCTGACTTACTGAACACCCTGTATAGTCATCACAAGAGTTTTAGATGTTTTNAACGGGTTTCTATTGTTCTCATTGTTTGTAACAATGAGAACAATAGATACCCGTTTCCTGACTTACTGAACACCCTGTATAGTCATCACAAGAGTTTTAGATGTTTCATAATTAAATTAAACGTTATTACACGTTTAAATTTTTTGTATGATATGCAGAGTGATTATTTGACTATGTCTCACACAATATCTTAAAAAATATAAAGTATAATATAATTTTTTATTTTTCAGAAGTTAGTAGTTTGTTATGTTCAATAATTTTCAAAAAAAAAAAACTGTCTTAAAATAGTATTAACTTGAGTTTTTTAACTGAAAATATATATTTTTATGTTAACATATATGTTTTTCAGTTTAACTGACTGACATATAAAAAAAATTATCTTAATAAGGAAATAATTGGTTGATAATAACTTACGAACACGTATTTTAAAAGATATTAGCATTTTTATAATAAAACGAGAGGAATAATGCAGTTTATTATTGCGTTGAGATAAAAATACACAGACTTACTTCACATTTAGTCTTTCTATTGATAACTTCAAAAATACTGTTCCAAAAGTTTTTTCGATCAGTAATTTTATTTGAAAGATCATTTTATAGTTTGTATGATGGTTAAATATACATGTTTCTATTAAAAAAAACTCAAATTGATAATATTTTAAGGGGAAAACAGACAGAATAAATAATTTTTTTGAAAATTATAGGGCGTAGGACACTATTAACTTAAAAAAAAAAAATTCTATTACTAATATTTTTTATAAATAAATAAAAGAGTTCTCTGATTATTTTATATGTAAGCCCAATTTTAGATACTAAAATTATACCTATAAATAGTGTTATTTTTTAATTAGTTTTGGTTATAATAAACGAATCCTCTTATACACAATATAAGTTTGGTAAAATCAAGGCATAGAGATTATTTTTATATTGTTTACTTTTTATATTTATTTATTATTAAATATTATTCAGACATCCACATTAGATAATGGTGGATCTCTGATCTACTAACAATATAATATAGTGTTCCCGAAAAATGTTGCTTTCATTTATTCATTTCAAAATACTTTAATAAATTTTAAGTCAAAGAAGTAAAAAAAATAACTAAAATTTTTTTTTTAATAATCGTAATTTTTGGAGATTTTGCTCATTTATAAAAACAAGGAAATTATTTTTAATTTATGGAGTTTATAATTTAAACAAATACGATTTCTGATCGTAATATTGTGCAAATAGATCGTTCAAGCTAAATATTTATTAATACAAACACGCGAAAAAATACAATATACAAGCTAAAATAGTTAATTATTGTATAATGACATTTCAGATTTTTCTAAATCTAATCCTGGTATGGATATTATTACTTTCAGCTGAGAAAATAATAATTTTATTATATTATGAATTTATTATTATTATTTTTGACTGTCGCAGGATTACGTAACTTTATGGCTGTAAAAATTAATGATGTGTCACTTCACGGAACATCATGAAATTTTGTCATTTATATAATATATAGACTTAATTTTTACTATTCCTTATCAAAAAGAAAGAGGTATAACAACAATGGAAAAATTACCTACCACAAATGTACGTGGCTGTCCATCAGTGTTACCATCAATTACATCGTATTACCAGATAAAAAATAATCTGATCTATGTAATAAAAATTATGGATTACTGAAAAATACGCTACAAAGCAATAGCTTCTGAATTTCCCAAATCAGAAATAAATTAACGATAACATGATTTGCGATGAATTTAGCCAAGATAAATATATGTACATTTGTCTGTCATTACACTCAAACACAAAAAAATCTCAATTATTTTAAGTGAAAATATTTAAAAAGTAATTTAAAACTGATATAATTATATTAAAAATGTTTACAAAAATTTAAAATTTTTATTAGTAATATCTTAAAAAAATGTTTCTCTTTTGTTAAACTCTATTTGAAAGTCTAAACAATATTTAATAAGTCCCGATTATACTGTATTTTTTAATATATATTTCGATAGGATATTTTACAATTTATAACAAGTATATTTCAATATTTGAAGGTTAGGAAACTCATAATTATAAATATTTATTATACTAATATAAACTTCCAGTGTAAAATTAAAAATCCAAGTCAACATAAAACAGACATGTAATTAGACTCTCTTATTCGTTAATATTACTTAAGTAAATAAATTATGTTACGTATAGACCAAACTAAAATATCATTTTCCAGAATGTTAAATAAATTTTACTTGTTAACCAAATAATGTTGTTAGTGCACAAAAATAAAATGAACTTTCAAACAGCTGATCACTAATTTGACTTAGAATTAAGTTAAGTCAAATTAAGTCTAATTTTTTATTACTTATAACTTTAATAACGTCCACCTAATAATTATATTGCAAATAAAATATTACGTTAATTTGATAAGTGTATCGTAGAAAACAATTAATTAAAATCAACATTATATTATCTTTTAAAAAATTATATATTTAATAACGTAATGACAAAAGAAATATTTTGTATGACACATTAGAAAAAATATAAATAAAATTAATTTGACACTTGTTGTAATATGAAATAATATTCTAATAACCACAGATAAATCAACAGCTTGGAATTTGAGCTAACAATGGAGGTAGATATTGACATGGAGGTGGAACGATAGGTGTAGGAGGACATGGTGGAGATGGGTTAATGAAAAGATTGGGCAAACAAGCTGGAGCTTGTACAACTATGTCTGGGCTGCTAAGGCTGCTTCCTGGACTGTATAAGATTTGTGGTAGTGGAGCAGGAGGCAATACGATTGGAGCACCGGGTTTTTGGGATGGCAAATTGAATATAATGTTGCCTGGTTTTGGGGCTGGAACATTGGTGATTTGTCCAGATTGAGAGTTAATGTTGTCGTTGATAATGATTGGTCCTGGAGCACAAGGTGGTAACACGACAGGGGCAGATTGGCCTTGTTGAACATTAAGAAGCAAGTTTGGTGATGGACCACCTGGGACGAAGATTGGAGATTTGTTAAGAGATTTCTTTGGGAGTTGGACGACAATTGGCCCTTGAGCTGGTCCAGGGGCGATGATTGGAGCGGGGGCTGGTGGAAGAGCTAAGTTAGCGACTACGGTTGAGGGAGCAGCGTTAGCGGGTAAACCGAGTGATGGCAATACAGAGCTCAACAATGATAGAAGTACAGGTTGAGGGATAAGTGTTAACAATGATGGTGCGGCACTAGCGATGGCTTTGACGAGAGCAAGGATAACGTTGGATGGAATTTGACTGACGATAGCTGGGTTGGAACCTAAAGTGGCCAAGAATGCGATGACTGTGGTTGGAGGTAGAGTAGTCAAAAGAGAAGGATTAGAAGCTAAGAAGGTAAGTAAATTGATGAGTGCAGACGGTGGGATCGAGGTCAAAAATGATGGGTTGTAAGCGATGGTGTTTAAGAGTTCAATGATGGTTGTTACGGGAATAGTGGGCAAAGCGCTTGGGTTACTAAGCAATGGAAGGATGGCAGTTAAGGGAAGGGATGATTTGGAACATGGTGATGGAGCTGCGGATGAGATTGGTACTGGAGCTGGAGCTAGTGTTGGAGCTGATGCTCCGCAAGGAAGTGGAGCTGAAGATGCGCATGGAGTTGGTGAAGAAATGCATTGGGCATTTAAAGTCTATTTAAACATAATAACTATATTAATTATTTAATTTTTACATTGAAATTATACAATAATTCAAGATTCACTTACTCTTAATGTTATAAGACTTACTACAGCATACAACACTATAGTAGGATTCATTTTATTTTATTTTACCAAATGTCTTAATTTTTTTTTTTTTTTGATGCCTATTTAATTAGACCTTACTGAAATCTGTTTTCTTAAACGATTTTCACTCTTTATATACGAGTCTTTTTTTTTAGCTGATAAGTTAATTTTAAGATAACTGGTACTATCACATTGATGTTACTATACAGAATTACAATTATCACAATATATATTATGAAGTACATCGGTTTTATCCATATCTGAGTGCGTTACTGATATTTATTATTAATATTTTGATAAAAATTATTAGCCTATGACGTAAATGGAGAGTGCATAGTATATTGTCACCTACATTATTCGTAATGCACAATAAAATATTTTTTAATATTGCGTTTGCTAAATTAACTATGGTTCATTTTATTTGAAATAAAAATTCTGGCAGCACACGAATATGATTATAATTTACAAGATTTATTATATTATGGGAATTTTTCAAACAGATTCAAATTATTTTATAGCATAAAATTATGGTTTTTTCTGTGATAATATAATTTGTAGCACAAATTAAAATAAAACTGTAAAATTATCATTGTACATGTAGTAATTTTTTCTCTAAATTTTTAAAAAGATTATATTTAATGTTTTATAAATTTCAATTTATTAGACATTTATTTTTTTGTCGTTTAAAACGTTGTTATTGTATATTAAATACATGTATTTTGTAGTAATATTTAGAAGTTAATATGTCTGGTTAGCATTAGTTTAGAAGAATAAAAAGTTATTTAAACATATATGGCATCGTTAGAAAATGGGTATCTTTGAGATGAATAAAGAATTGTTTCCTATAAAATTAAATCATACTTTTTGACACACTAAAGAAAACATTTTTTTCTGTATATATAGTATAAAATCAAAAACCTATTTTTGTGACGTAGCTTTTGGATGTAAGATACAGAATGTATAGATTTTGTTTTTTTTCAATTTAAACATTTATAAATATTATAACATATATACACAGAATAAATTTTAATTAAATATTCATTTTCTCAAGAATTAAAAAAAAATTTTAATTTACGTAATGTGAAACCTTATTTAGTTAAATTAACTCTATACTATTATAAGGTTTAATATTTTTTCATCCCTTCAGGTACAACGTTCTCAACAATATTTTGTTGAAATAAAAATTTCGGTTTTTTACACGTCATGACAAATTTTTTATCAAACATGATAAAAAATTTCAAAGTATTTATTACGATATATTTTTTTGAACTGTTCATCAATTAGAGAAAATGTTGTAAGCTAATTTATTAATTAGTGTTGTGATATATAAATGTATAAAAATGTTTTTATGGTGATTTGTAAATAGTTCATTATATAACAATATTTACCATTGTGCATAATTTTAGTCCGAATTTAAAATTTTAGCTTCAATGCGATTAGTTTTACTATGATGGGTTTTTTTTTGTGTCTGTTACCACTTTTTCTCAGCTCTCACCGAATCAATTTCTTTCACAATACGCCAAATGATCGAAAATCATATTTGTCAAAGACATTGCCTTTAAAAATTAAAAAAATTTCCCTTGTTCCCGTAAATGGGGGAAATCTCCAAAAAAATTACAAATTTAAAAATCGCTATTTTTCGAAATTTTTTCCCTTTTTTTTTACTTAAAATTCCTATAACTCTTTTAAAAATCGATACAATTTTTTTTTATATAAATATATGAGTTATTTACCTATTATTTGATATATAATATTTATAAATTTGACCCTTTACCTGCTCACATGGAGAATTCAAAATTACAACTTTTTCAACTTAACTTTTTAAAGTGTTCCAGAAAGTCTGACACTTTTATAAATATTTTAAATTAAAGCTGATGTAATATACTTTAATATAAAAAAAAAAATGCCGGACTTTATTTTGTCTTCATGGTGAAAACAGACATCATAGTTANAAATATTTTAAATTAAAGCTGATGTAATATACTTTAATATAAAAAAAAAATACGATTTCTGTAAAAAAAATTCTTTTTTATTTTTTTAACTTTATAATCTTATAACTTTTCGAAAAATATATAGATCAATACAATTTTTTTTTATAGATTTGGTATATTTTATTTTATTAATCTGACCCTTTACCTGTCCACAGGGGGGGATTTAAAAAGATAACTTTTTCACAAACAATTAACTTTTTATTTAATTTAAAATTTTATTTCAGCTTTTTAAAATTAGCTTTTGGAATAATCCACCTTTTTTTTAAAATTTAACACTATCTACAGATTTGCATCAAAGCGTTTTTTATGATAGTGATTTTAATCACTGTCACATATCATTATACTTGACCCAACTATACCACGTCACTACTGTGCTGCGACCCCCCATGTGCTGGTATTTAAAAATTATATCCATCTAATCACAAAAAATCTTTGATATATGAATTAAAATATTGTTTTTGACCAATAATGCTTTGTGGATTTATATATAAGAGTAGATTTATAAAAAAGATTTCCTTTATTTTTTGAAATTCTTTACAACTCCTTATAATTTATATTGATTATTATATAACAAAAAATACATTTTATGTAAGGAAGTCATACTTTTTATTCTTCTTGTTATTTTTAATGAAATAAAAAATGCAATTAAATAATGTTATTATGCATTTTTATATTACACGATGATTCGTCTATCTCTACTCATTCAATTACTTATAAAATAAAGTTATCATCATATTTTCAGCCTTTATATAATAAAATAAAAATTGATCACTTGTGGCTAATTAATTAAATTAAATTAAATATATTATTAATTTAATAACTAAAAAATATTAAACTTAAAAAGTCATTAAAAATTACTGAAAAACAGCTATACCTTATTAATTTAACAGGATTTATACACTGGCTACCGACCTGACGGAGCCTCTTTCTGGCTAGTAAGGAGATAAGAAAGGTGTCATTGTTGAAGTTTCCATATAGTCACCCATCTGGAAACTAACAACAAACAGCGCAGCTGACATCAATGTTGATCCACTGCGCTACACAACGCTACTACTTATTAAAAAAAACTAAATTTTTATTTCTAACTTTTTTAGTTTCCAGTAGATTTTTTGATCCATCCCATTTATTATAAATGGTGTCTACTCTATTTTCTAATGATAACATATTTATTTAACTAGCTTGTAAAATAGAAAATGATCAAATTTAAATATTGTCTGATCCAATTTTTAAACCGATATTTCGGATTTTATTATTATTTTAAAATATAGATTTTTAGTAGGATAAGGATTATGACAAATTATAAGTAATTAATCTTTGTGCTTCGATGTGAAGATGAAAATGTATTAATATTTATATTTGTTTTTGAATTAACCATTTCGGAATTCATTATCATATACCCTCGAATATTGTTGTGCTATTTTTACTAACTACTCATTAAAAATAATAACAGAATACAAGATAATTGTTGAGCTATAATAATTTTACACATTGAAAGCTATAAAAGAATAAATCATTTTTATACCTGGGCAAAAAGAGAACGAGAAATGTCTAATGATATATATTTGTAAAGTTATTTGCAGTTATTTAAAATTTAATTTAGAGATGATAAAATTAAAAAAATAATAAATTAAATGTTCTCAAAAAATATTTCCAAATTTTCATAAAATTCTGGACATATCTGCAGAAATATCTTAAATATTACACTACTAAAAAATTTCCGGAAATTTAACAGAACTTATTAGATCATGTTAATTTATTGATTTTTTTTATATTTTACTTTTGATAATTAGAGATTTTTTTACTTTTTAAATTTATCACATAAACCAATTTTTGTTGACCGCTGTGTCCATTCATCTTACAGATATTTCATATTTAATCATTCATGTCTAAGACATACACTCTTATATTAAACGCAATTTTACAATTGTATTTTATCGATTATCGATGTTCAAAATATTTATTAATAAACATCATAAAAAGTAATAGATTACTTATTAAAACATATTATTTCTACATATGCGTTATTAAGATAATCAAATTAATGATGAATTTTTACTCCAAAAAATCCAAGTTTTTAAACAATTTTAAACGCAAAACCTTTCGATAAAATAAAGTTGATTTCAGTGTTTATTTTTTCATTTAGAACCAATAGAATTTCAATAAGTGGAATCTCAAAGGAATATATTTATGTTTGACTTATTAAGATTTTAAGTTATTACGGGCTTAAAAAAAATTGACATTAATCGAATTTTTTTAATTTATCTTTTTTTTATAATTGTATAATTATAAAACAAAGCTAGGCAAGTTAACATATTTTTAACTTATTAATTTCAGAAAGATTATGTTAAGTTATGTTAAAAGTTACCTGATATATATTTTTTAACTACGTTAATAATTAAAACTACAACATAATTTTTTTCTTAATATACTATTGAAATAAAATTAAGATATATTTTTCAGTATTCTCCAAAGGTTAAACTAGACGCACTCTGATAATTATTTTAGAGAAATATAATCATTTCTGTAATTAATAAGTAGAGGAAATTGTAATTCTGAAAATAGTAGCTCGTTATGTTTGCCGTCAGTAATAATTAAAATCCGGATTTATGTACATCATAAAATTTATCAAAAATTTCGTTAATATGAAATTTTCGAATCTTTTACATCAATATCAATGATAAATTTCTATTTCAATTCATTGAGAAATTATAATGAACTTATGAAGCTAAGGATAATTTAAATTTTTTAAGCACAATAGCATCGATGCTTTATATAATAGTAATGTAAAATATCACTTGTTCCAACTATATAGTGTTACATGTTTGTGCTAGATTTTTTTATTGAATTTACACCAAATCATTAGAAAGAGGGGATTTAATATTTAACCATTAAATAAAAGAATATGTTTTTTTTTAAAAATTATTATTATTTTATTATTGTTGGCTATTAACTATTGCTTTAAAATATACTTTTACAATTCTGTGATGCTTGGTACATTAAAGCATAAATCATAAATTATAATTTTTTAGAGAGTAACCGTATGTTTGTTGTATTAAATAATTAATGAATTATTAAAATATATTTAAATCCCTATATATTAATAAGATAATCGTTATCAATATAACTTTACAATAAGAGTATTAGACAAAATATAATCTACATTTTTTTGTATTCTCCTCATTGATTTAAATAGTATAATAAATTTTCGACTTAAGTTATTTGTACAACGCACCAACGAATTTTATTTGAACAGAGATATAAATGCAGTCACAACAAAAGTATTTAAAAATAATATCAGTTACTCTTGCGAAATATTTAAAAACAAATATTCTTGATTTACTTAAATACATTTTACTATATAATTTAAATTCAATATTTTTATGAAAAGTAGTACATGCCTACCAACAAGAAAATAAATCTTAATACCTCATATAATTGTTAATTAGTGTTTAATTAGTTCATCCTTTTATTTTTATAATATTAAGTTTAATTGACCATTAGTTAAGAATTCAGCGAGTTATGAAAGTATGAACATAATATGTTTCATCCACAAACTAATAGTAACAAATCTTCACTAAATTCTACACAACAAACTGCTTTACTTATAAATATCCCAATATTATAATTTTAATAACACCTAATTTTATTATTATTTTTAAGTATTCAAAAAATATATTTTCATTTCAAAAACATATTAAAAATTAAAAAATATATTTAAACAATATTAACAAAAAGTGATGACTCCCTTTTTTTCACGTATAATATAAAATACATCTCAAATACCTATAGATAAAAATAACTTTTAAGGTATTCTAAATAATTTGTATGTATTAAAATATATTATTCAAATACTTTACAAGAATACTATTAACCATGTAAAAAATTATATTTTTATCGTAGATTTTCAATGTATACTATGCTTTAAAAAATTATCAAAATTAAATAAATATTATTAAACAAATAAAAATGATCTAAGTATCATTATTTATAATTATTCATATAAATTTAAAATTTTTGTTTAATTTATTTACTTTTAAGAATCTTAATAAAATAATCTACTAAAGAATATTATCAAGAATTTTATTCCGTTGTATGACAAAACACAAGTAATATTATATTTTTTAAAAATACCACAAAGAAATATTCAACTGAACAATAATATTTTTAATGCAAAATCGATGAATAATATATTTTTTGGAATAAATAAAATATATCTGAATTTGCTTTAGTAATTAGAACATGTGAAATAAATAATACATTTTGTCATGAGACTATAACATCAAAGTTATTTTATACGAAAATTTATTAAAAATTCAATACAAATATCGGTGTATGATTATTAACTATAAGATTAAGATAAATCAACAGCTTGGAATTTGAGCTAACAATGGAGGTAGATATTGACATGGAGGTGGAACGATAGGTGTAGGAGGACATGGTGGAGATGGGTTAATGAAAAGATTGGGCAAACAAGCTGGAGCTTGTACAACTATGTCTGGGCTGCTAAGGCTGCTTCCTGGACTGTATAAGATTTGTGGTAGTGGAGCAGGAGGCAATACGATTGGAGCACCGGGTTTTTGGGATGGCAAATTGAATATAATGTTGCCTGGTTTTGGGGCTGGAACATTGGTGATTTGTCCAGATTGAGAGTTAATGTTGTCGTTGATAATGATTGGTCCTGGAGCACAAGGTGGTAACACGACAGGGGCAGATTGGCCTTGTTGAACATTAAGAAGCAAGTTTGGTGATGGACCACCTGGGACGAAGATTGGAGATTTGTTAAGAGATTTCTTTGGGAGTTGGACGACAATTGGCCCTTGAGCTGGTCCAGGGGCGATGATTGGAGCGGGGGCTGGTGGAAGAGCTAAGTTAGCGACTACGGTTGAGGGAGCAGCGTTAGCGGGTAAACCGAGTGATGGCAATACAGAGCTCAACAATGATAGAAGTACAGGTTGAGGGATAAGTGTTAACAATGATGGTGCGGCACTAGCGATGGCTTTGACGAGAGCAAGGATAACGTTGGATGGAATTTGACTGACGATAGCTGGGTTGGAACCTAAAGTGGCCAAGAATGCGATGACTGTGGTTGGAGGTAGAGTAGTCAAAAGAGAAGGATTAGAAGCTAAGAAGGTAAGTAAATTGATGAGTGCAGACGGTGGGATCGAGGTCAAAAATGATGGGTTGTAAGCGATGGTGTTTAAGAGTTCAATGATGGTTGTTACGGGAATAGTGGGCAAAGCGCTTGGGTTACTAAGCAATGGAAGGATGGCAGTTAAGGGAAGGGATGATTTGGAACATGGTGATGGAGCTGCGGATGAGATTGGTACTGGAGCTGGAGCTAGTGTTGGAGCTGATGCTCCGCAAGGAAGTGGAGCTGAAGATGCGCATGGCGCTGGAAGACAAACGCATTGTGCGTTTATGTCCTGTAAACATAATTTTTTAATTATTCTATTAAATATATATTGTTAAGTAATTTTTATTCAAAGTGTAACTGAAAAAATTTATATTANTCAAAGTGTAACTGAAAAAATATATATTGAAGAATGACGTAAATATTCGATAGCTTAAGTTATATTAATTATTTTGAACATATATTCGGAATTATTTTACCTTAACCACTAAAATGCAGCTAACAACAAATATCAGTATTGTTTTAGTCATAATTGTTAGTACTGCTACGGATCTTCAGTTACAATGTAACTTAGTTTGATACCAAATTCTTTTATATGTTGTCTAAAATTTTTATCATCAAATTAGAATTAATAACCATTAAATGCATTTTTGATAATAACTAATCTTATCAAAATTTTTTGTGACAGCGATTGTTCGGTCATTATTTTTAAACATAAATATATTCATAATTATCTTCCTGAAGTTTTATGATTCGTTCATACTTTTTTTTGATCATTTAAAAAAAATAGGATTTTAGTTGTCTTCATAGTCAATTTAATAAGAATAATTAGTTATTTTTACTATATTAAGTAAACATAAGTGTTATATTTCTTTCACAAATGTACTAGATTTTGTGACTATAAAAAATTAAGTCCAGTATATAAATAAAAAGAATTTTTATCACTGATAGTCAATGCGTTAAAATAAGTCTTTATCCAAAATCATGCAATTACTCTACTAAATTCAAGAGATTAAAATTCAATTTATCTGAAACATAACTCTACGTATTATTCTTAACACATTTAGGTATGAGAGAAATAATGATATTCACAAGAAGATGATGATAATAATCGTAAGAGATGAAATTCAACGAAATGTTCATATTCAAGACGTCAGAAGATCGAAATGCTCAAACCTTATGACTTTATATTAAGTAAATTTTCTATCAATTTATGTAATATTAGTAAACTTTGTTAAAAGTTTCTCTCCATTATTATATATCATATCTTAACTGTATATTTTTTGTAACTTGAGATGTTATAGTTTGTGAAAATTTTTTAATAAGCCACAAGGTTATCTCAATTAAATACTTATAAAGAGAAATTTAATAGGTGCTGGCTTTAATTATTTTTAAAAATATTTCAAATTAGATACAGAAAAACTATTTTTTTAAATTAATAAAATGTTCAACTATTTTCAGATAATCATTTGCAAGTACAACAAAAATATTATATCATAATTTAAAAAGTAAACTTTTTCAATGTAAGTTTTAAAAATGGTACAGAAATCCTATGTTTTTTTAATGTAAGTTAATATAATTTTCTGTAAAAGGCTCTAAATTTAAAAAAATGCTCCTTTTTGTATTGTTATTTTCTTCTACTCTAATTTTTTTTTCAACTTTTACACTCTATATTTTAGATAATAAGAAATTTTAATATTATAGGGGATTAGTTCAACCCATTTTTTTATGTAAATAAGTATTTTTAACTATAATTATATTTAGGTACGATTTTCGCAGATTTTAGTGTCTATATAAAAAGCATCTCAAAGGGATAGGTTCCTCCTTCCAAAAAATATGTTTTATTTACTATTGACTTATAATAAAGATCCAAATAGTAAATAATTAAATGATAAAAAATAAATATTTATATATATTTCAAAAATCAGACTTTTTATTTAATTTTTAACTGTAAAAACAATTTTTATCAATATAGAAATAATTCATAGATATATTTAAATCAAAAGCGAATCAACAATTGATATTACAGCTTGGCACTTGAGCTAGCAGAGGTGGCATATTTTGACATGTTCTTGGTGGAAAGTTAGGCGTCGAGCTACTTAAAGGTGGCAGATAAAATAACTTTGGTAAACTAGAAGGAGTTTGAAAAATTATATCTGGTCTACTGATTCTATTTCCAGGATTGTATAAAATTTGTGGAATTGGAGCAGGTGGTAAAACTATTGGTGCACTAGATTTTGGGGTTGGTAAAGAGAATATAATGTTCGCTGGCGGCGGAGCTGGAGCATTAATAATTTGTCCTGTTTGTGAATTTATATTATCATTAATAACAATTGGACCCGGAGCGCATGAAGGTAAAATCACTGGTGCAGTCTGGCTACTTTGTTCTATATTAACTAACAAATTTGGAGCAGGACCAGCTGGAACGATAATGGGAGATTTCTTTTGGGATTTTTTAGGAAGTTGTATGACGATTGGTCCTTGAGCTGGTCCTGGAACTATAACTGGAGCGGTAGGGGCAGGTATCGTTAGGTTAGCAACAACTGTCGAAGCAGAAGTACTTGAAGGTAATCCTAAGGAAGGCATTATACCGCTCAATAGAGATAGTAATATTGGTTGAGGTATAATAGCAAATAATGATGGAGCACTTGAAGAAATAGCTTTAACTAAACAAAGGATCACAGATGGCGGAATTAAGCTAACTACAGATGATTTAGATGCTAATGCAGCTAAGAATGTGATGACTGTTGTTGAAGGAAGAGCACTTAAAAGAGAAGGACTTGATGCTAAAAATTTGAGCAAATTGATAATAGCACAAGGTGGAACAACTGTTAATAATGACGGATTATAGGATATCGTATTCAATAGAGCAATAATGGTTGATGGAGGAAGTGTAGGTAAAGCTGAAAAATTATTGAGCAACAAAAGTATGTCATTTATTGGAAGAGATGAATCATAGTTTGAAGTTGATGGAGTAACTGATACTTCACTTGATGTAGTTGAAGAAGAACAAGGTTGTGATGAAAGAACACATTGAACTCTTAAACTCTAGAACACAAATTATAATTTATTACGCTACTAAAATTATGATAATATATTTTTATTTGATTGAAGTTTATATAAAAATAATAAATAGATAGTATTTGTAATGGATGTGTTTAAGTAAAAACAAAAATAATAATTTTATAGGTTAAACTGTCATATTGCAATTATTTTATAATAAATAATATACTTGTAATCAAGTTATAGTATTTCATTTACCTGTTGTGAAAAAAAACAAACAATTATATAAACAAATAATGTTGTCCACATCTTAAATGAGTTTTGTAAGATAACTGTGTATGTAAAATGGAAATATGCACATTTCTATTGTTTTATTCTCTTTTTATACTGCATTGATATTATATTGAAGTCATATGTAGCCATTATACATAGTCTGCTCTTAATATCGCATATCATTGTTATCTAAAATCAAGTATACGTTTGTGATTAAATTACTAACATAACATTATTAATAGCCTTGAAGATATATTTTTCGACTTAATTCTGTATTTACTTTTTTATTGCTTTTAAGTGTATTTTTGTTTTATTTAACTGGAAAAAGTGGAAAATTTTTTTCCAAAAGCCATCGGCGAGGCATTTAATTAAAAATATTTATTATAACTATAATCGGAAAAAAAATCGTTCAAAATTTCATGAAAAATTTACCACTTAAATTTTAATTTTAAAGATTAAAAAACCACAGCTAACATGGAAAATGTTAACATTTTCACAGCATCAGTGTAATTTTTCTAAACACCACATTGATTAAAATTTGATTAAGATCATTTTTATTAGATAGATTAACTAATTTATATTGAACTTAATTTATTAAGGTAGCTTTACTACAAAATATAAATGTAAATATGTTTAAATTATTTAAAAAATGAACTAAAATAATCAATATTTCTGCAGTAATATCAAAATATTTATTATTTTAATTTTTATATTGTAAATATATAATTTTTATATTCCATGATACAGTAAATTAGAAAATCTATTTATAATAAAATTGCATATAATCGAAAAAAATTATTATGTATACATATTAAAGATTACAAAATGTCCTACTGAAAGTTCAATACGATTTAACTACACAAAATGCAAATATTATAAACTTAAGTTACTGCAACTCAACAATTGATAAATATGTTATCGATAATCAAATTTTATCTGTATCTACATTTTTTATCCGAGTAAATCTACTCGCTCTACTTGATATAAAAAGAAAAATATACTTAATTCGAAAACGTATTTCGAATTGCTAGGCAGAAGACAATACAATGGTAAATACTAAGTATATAGCTTGTACATTTTTGTACCTTTTGGTACTCCCAGTAAGTAAATTTATTTAAAAATTACTGATCTTTTGAAAAAAATCTAAATATACATTTTATTTAGACTCCAAATTTTGCAAACGTAAGCTCAGGAATTCAAAATGGAGAGGTATGTACTACATTCGTATATAAAAAAAAATAACAATAATCATGCTTTATAATTGTAGTTTCATTGTTTTATTAATTACTATTATTATTGTTGTTATAATAAAACATCAATTATATAAATTTTTTAACAAATTTATCAAATTATTTACACGATAATGATAATTTAATAAGAATCATACGAGACAAAGTTTAAAATTAAACAAAAATATTTATTTTTTGGTAAAATATTAAATTATGTTTCGTATTAATTTGTTTTATTTTTAATAATTTTTAATCATTGACTATAATTAATTAAAGCATTATTACTTAAAAATAAATTTAGTTACTATCCTCAAAATATTTTTACATATCTAGTTAGATAAAGTATTTTTAATTATTACAATGTCATTAGTATTTATTGATATGAATATTGTTTATTTTATTGTATCATCAGTACGAGTATAAATAAGTTGTCATAATAACAATTTAATTTCTAGATTCAAAATGAAGCATGTGGAAACCCTGAAATTGAACTTGTAAGTATTTTTATTTCTGATGCTGAACTAAAAAGATAATGTGACTATGAATCTTTTTATTAATTATCATTATAAAATTTAAATTATACTTTAGGTTCCCGGAGTTAAACTTGATGGCGTTGTTCCAAATTCAGTAGCTTTACTTCCAAACATTGTAAGTATTTAACTACAAACATTTCTTTAATAACTCCAATTTCATTTTCAATAAGAACCTATATCAGCATAAATTTCATAAGGTATAATCATTGTAATCACATAAAAATAAAATTTAACTGAACATTACTTGCATAAATTTATCATCAGAGCTTTTGATATTTCTATAAAAATAAAATTATTTATTTATACCAATTTTTATTTTATAGGGAAGTAATTTGCCTGCTGGTATCGCTTCAGAAACCGAATTGTTAAAAATTTTAAGTACTGAAGCTTTGATATCCGATCTTCCTCCTATCACACTCGTTAACATCATATTCTACTTGGCTTCCTCTACCACTTTATTGTCAAATATACCTTCCCCGTGTATTGTAAATTTAATTATTACATTAACAAAAGCACCAAAGCTCTTGTGCTCGCTTACTCAACCAGCACTTTATGCTTTACTTGCCGTTATAACAAGCAACCCTGGAAATATTACACATGTACCCCTTCCCATATTAGCTAAATTTATTACTCTTTTGCTTTCAACATCACCAGGCACTCTTTATTCTGCTCCCACCTCAACTTTGGCCATTTTAATAGGCCAAGTAACATCACCAATTATCTTATCTGCGTTGCCACATAATGCACTTCTCAATCTGATCACGCTATTATCTCTAAATGTAGGACTTTTTAATGCTTTACCTATTTCAACTATTGTATCACTTTTAACATACTTATCAACATCACCAAGTATACTCACCGCATTACCACCTAGTACACTGTTCGATTTCTTGGAAAATTTGTTTGACACTTTTGCTGACTCTACACCATTCCTTGTCAATGTCGTACCTACCGCTATCCTTGCTAAAATTCTTTCAACAGTACTCACGCCTTGTATTTTGACAGTTCTTCCAACAAAAACGTTTAACCTACTTTTATGCGTTCTTGGATCGGCCCCAGCATTATTAGGAGCATTACCTACATGTACAATAGTTTCACTCCTCACTGTTTTGGCTTCTTCGCCAAATATTTTAGTTGACATCACTCCAACCTTCCTTGTCAACATCCTTGTACAAATTGTTACATATCCAAACTTATTAACTGCCATACCTTTACAATTGATCATTGCGTTGCTAAATGCTGTTGCCACTTACTTGCCAACCGCTCTCAACGCCATACCTCCTTTTGTATTGAACACATTATTAGGTTGTGGTATTCCCGCTTAAGATTGCTGATTTTTTAAATTACATTGTTAAATACATTTTTTCGTTTGAAATATAAAACGAAAACTTGAGAACTTATAATTACGAGTGAACATAGGTAAATCAAAATCTATTTCAAATTGTACTAGTTTTTAACCAAAAGTTTTACTTTCGATTTATAATAATTGTAAGCAAAAATTGTTTCCATAGCGCATTTAAAAAACAAAATATTTACACTGTTTAAAATCGTTTTCTATGTTTTATAAACCAATAAACATTTTATTTATTTTTTAATCTGTATTTTAACAAAAAAAAAATAATAATCATTAAATACAACTTTTTAAGTGTTTTAATTTACTTATGTTTTTAAAAATACTTTAAAAAAAAAACATTTATACTATTAAAATTGGATAAAATTCAATTTTTTATATTAATTATTATTATTTAAATTTTTACTATCTAAAATATTTATTTTTTAATATTAGGAAATATCTGTACAATATTCGATATCAGTGAAAATTTTGTTCTATGATTTAAGACATTTAAAATACATAATAGTAAAATTTGCACAATGTAGATTGTTACAGATATATATTTATTTTTTATTTTACAACTAAGTATGGCAAAATAATCCAGTAAGTTTTTAAAAAAGAAGGAATTCCATACAATTTACAATTAGGTACAACTTACATAACATAAATGATACCATCTTCAATATAGTAATTCAGAATAATAATTAATTAATTTTAATTAAAAATGAATTATTTAATTATCTATTATTATTTGATTAAAGTTTAATAATTGTTATTAATTTGCTTTTAACAATATAGCTGAAAATTTACAGACAAAATCAACTTTTTTTAACTCATTGCAAGTTTTTAATATTCTGTATTTATATGTAGAGTAAGAACAAAGATACATTATAATTTCATTAAAATAAATCAAACTTAATAGTTCCGAAAATAATTTTTTTTTCTTTAGTCAAATAAAATAATAGTCCTTTAGATAAGGCTTTTTAATATATAAATTTTTAGCTGAAATATTTTTTTTTGCAACTACTAGTTAAAAACAAATCTTTTTATGCATTCCAATTCATGTAACAACTATCTACACAATGTATTGTATTAAACAATTTTACGGGAGACATTTTAATCGCTATTAGATTTAACTAAGTTATTTATACTTATAAAAATAACTGGCGGTGCTAAAATTGCTTATTAATTGAATTAGGTGGTTTGAAATTATTTAAATTTAATTATAATAAATTGTTTAAAATTTATCGAATGTAAAATAAAAATGAAAAATACATTTTAATGAATTATTATTTTTTCTTTTTGTTAATATTATATTAATAGACGTGACTAGTGGAAGACATTAGGCTTCAAAAACGTAAAAAATTACATATATTGTTACACAAAAATAGTTTTAAGGGGAACCATCTTAAACCTATTTTAATAAAGTAACCTCAAATTTGATTTTAGTTCCGTCTATGACTAGAATTATAATTAGTGTTGTTCGGCCATTTTCTTGGGAAACCAAAACAAGAACTTAGAAAATTCTCAGACGGAAACAGTAGAAAAGTACATTCCTTTTCGAAAATTGCAAGCCAATGTGTGCTTTGATTAATTGACTAATAACAGTTCGCTCTAGTACTGCACCTGCACTATGTAAACAACAGAGACGATTTCGGTCTAACCCGACCTGACTTAAATTTATCCCTGTTCAAATGTTTGGTTTAACAGTAATATTGATTATATGTTTTGGACTTGACCGGGTGGACCTTAATTTAAAATGGACCGAGCCTGGTTGCAGCGATCCAAACCAAACATTGTTATTGGGTTGAGTATGTTCATGCGGTTTACAAAAAAAAAAATAATCGTTTATTTTCGTTGGAAACAAAACATAATGAATGAAACTTCAAAAATTAAAATCTTATTTATTAAGCCATTTATTTTTTGAATAGATCGGGTCAAATTGGACTTAATTTATTTTTTATTTTTGGACCGGGACAGATTGGGCATAAAATTTTACTCATAAACTTTTATCGGTTTAGACCGAACATGAAAAAATTAACTTCGGATAAGATCGAGCTAATAATTTTATGTACCATAAATGTGACAACTCAGAACGATGTTTAAACGTGGAGTTATTAATAATAAATTATTTTTTCGAAAGTGTTACACATAATATGGTACTTAGATACATTTTCTGTATTGTTTGTAATTAACCTCAACTCAGTTATAAAACTTCAAAATTATAATATTTTTAATAATCTCCTGATATCAGTTAAGTTCAATATAGGTTTGTTCCAGGGAACTGTACAGCACTTATATTAGTATTTATTAATAAATAATGAATTATAAGCAGTGTTGAAAAATTAAGTAATTACTTAATTTTTAAATAGATAAATATGAATAAAATGTAATAAGACCTTGAATATTAATTAAAGTACTGATATAATAATATTTTGTATAAAAAATTCAATCACAGAACCGATGTAAAAACATGATTAACTGTATTATTTTTTATTCAATACGTGTAAAACGATTATTCTTAGGAGATAGATTACACAATATTATTAAATTATGATTGTTTCAAATTTTGTGTCTTTGTATTATAAAAAAAAAATTCATAAGAACGTATTTAATGCAATAATATCTACAACCTAAAATATTTTAAATGTAAACAAATAATATGTTTTTAATGCTAAAAAAAATAATGTGTCAACATTTACATAATAGGTTTAACATGATAAATATTGTAGTCATATTGTTAAAACTATATGCTAATTTCTTAATTAAATTTTTTTATTATAGCATTTAATTATAAACTTTTTAACCTTAAAACCCCATACGACTTATCACGTCAAAATGTTTTTTTTTTTACATTTTTTACGATATTCTTAGTTAGTCAGTAATTATAGTTTGAACATTCATTACATATATGTTTATCGATATATTTTTCTTTTTTATATGTACTTTTACATTTTTAATGGTATGCGAATAGGTATTTCGACATACAAGTTATTATCATAAGGCTAAACAAATATTAGGCTCCTCTACCAAAAATATCCGTTATGTACCCCTACCTAGTAATATCATTATTTGTTCAATTTTTATATCACTATACCAGTTAACACAAGTTTTTATAATAAATGTTGAAATCGGTCTAATTAACAATTNATCACTATACCAGTTAACACAAGTTTTTATAATAAATGTTGAAATCAGTCTAATTAACAATTAATTTATAATAATTTTTATTTTTAAATATTTTTATTATCTCCTTTTTCAAGTTCTTTTTGTAATTATTTATATTTTTAATTAATTGTAATGGTGTAATTATGTATAATAAATGTTCAGTTATTGAATATTTATCAAATTCTTTATTTTTATTATTTCTGAAATGTCCTTCAAATCTAACCCCTATATGTATTTTAATTTTGCCTATAAAAAACTTATCACAGCTTTCACGTTGTATTTTTTAATGCTTGATTTCTCCCCTTTTCTACTTTAAATGGAGAGTTACCTATTACATTTTTATGTTACTTCTCTGAGAACTTATTAATGTAATTCCGACATTTTTGATAATTTTAGATTTTTTCTATAATTGTAGTTTCGAAAATTCAAGACATTTAAATATATTTGAATAATTTAATATACACTAGCAAATCTATTCACTGATTCCATTTTGAAATAATATTTTAATCAGATATAAGAATATTAAAGCAAAGTTTAAAAATTAAGAAATTGATGCTCGCAATTTTTCATTAGCTAAGTATTTATTTACACGTAATACAGCATTAAAACTATGAAAATAATTAGTAACATTAATAATTATAATGACCACAAAATAAGAGAGGTCATACAAATATTTAAAAATAAAAATGATTGAATAGGGTGCCATTCTTGGCACCCCTTCCAAAAAATTAGTAGTACATATTTGATAATTTCTCATAAACTTATAAAATGACGAGCACATATTGTATGCTATGTTTTAATGTAAAACACTTTTACTTTTACATCTCTGGATTTTTTTTTTTTATGTGTAGACGTATATAGTCAGTAAAGAACTTTTTTGAGTAATTGGCGTATTTCTCCTCGTGTAAGCCTGTTTTTACTGGTAGATATATTTTTGTTTAATTTATCTCAATGAAACTTTTTCATGTCAAATGAAACATAAAATACGTTAAAAATAATAGCTTGGGAAATTTTAATTTTTACTTAAATATATAAAACGCAATATGGTGTAAAATAATTTTAAAAGTTATATTTGCTTCACAATTTTGAATTCTATAGGTTTTAAAAAAAATTATGCATAAATTTAATATATTATGCAATATTTAATAATGAAACAAAGTAAAAATAATAATTGTTGTTATTTTTATAAATTAGATAGAACAATTTAAAAAATGCTTCAATTATATACTAGTTATCGATTTTAATTGTATAAATAAACTTAAATTATGTTCATTTAAAAATCACATTTTATTTTCTATATTAATTAATGATGAAATATGTTCTACTTTTAGATTGCCTAAAAAAAAAAAAAATAAAGTATAAATAAAAAACATGCTATAGTATTTAAATTATAAGCACAGCTATATTATTTTCTTTGAACTGCTTTATAAATCATGTGGTACTTACTGGACTTAAATAGTTTTTTCAATAGATATTTCTTTGTTAATTTTTATGGATTTTTCAGGTACCTAAAACAAGTAAAACAATTTTAAATATTAAATATTAATAAGCAGAGAAATATAGATTTTATTTATATGAACACAAAATTAAAAGCTTATTTTTTTCAGATAAGTCTCTTTTTTTTTAAATCAGTAGATCGACATTACATATAAATTGATTAATTATTTATAATTCTTTTTAAATATAAAAATTAATAATTCAAATTTAAAATTCCGACAAACTTTTTTTAATAAAATTATTAAATGTAACAAAATTTCAATGAATTATTTAGTAATCAAACTTTCAAAAACATTTTTTCAAATAAAATTATTAATATAAAAAATTGATTTTGGTCAACATTTATTTGATTAAAAAAAATTTAGAAATTCACGATAATTAATTTTGGGATCCATTTTTTACACTGATTAATTATATCTACTGTACATGCACCTGGGATAACAAAATATATATCCTATCTGATTTAATATTTCTTTTAGCTTAATATATTATAAATTAATGAATTATCTGCACTAAACAAATATACTGAAAATTTATGTTTTATATAATAAAATCGACTTACTGGTTCAATAATATGCCCTGAACTGACACAACCGCATCCAGGTTTGGATCCAAGTCCACCACAACCGCAACCAGGTTTTGTTCCGAATTCATCACAAGTACATTTAGAATTTGGTACACAACCATTTATATATCCACAACCATTGTTATATCCACAACCGTTGTTATATCCACAACCTAATCCATAATTTGGTCCATATCCACAACCCTTATATAACCCATAACCATAACCACAGTTAGGTCTGTATTCGTAACCAGAGCCACATGTCAAAAGAGTATTAGTACATCCACTAGTTATACACTATTACAACGGAAAATTACAATTTTTAAAATGTCAAAATATATATGCCTATTAAAGTTTTCTTACAGTATTTAACAATCTGTTATTTCCGCAGATGCTGTTGATTCCAAGTCCCTGAACATATAAAAATATTACTCAAGTTGTTACGGTCATACAATTATATTAATTACTATTAAAAAGAGTTATACTAACAAATTCCTAGGACTGACAATATTAAAAATAATTCTATCAGTATGACTGTTTTAACTTAAATACTAAATTCAAACGGTATACATTATACTGTGATACCAATCTTGACCAATGTATTAATTTTTTAACTCGATTTTAAATTGTTTAACAAAATAGTCTAAAGTAAATTTAAAGGTTTATTATCTTATATGACATAGTTTAAGGCAAAAATAGTTTTATTACTCGTAGTTATATTGGGTGTTCAGTAAATAAGGTAAAGGATTTCTATTGTTATTATTGTTTATAACAATTAACCTGTTTTCTTCCTTAATTAATACCCTGCACAGAGTACTTAAGCTTCATAAACACGTGAGTAATTGACATACAAAATAAATTAAATTAAACAGTTAACCTCCTATCGGCAATAATACTGACATAATTAGAAAACACCAATATTGCAGAAAATAAAAAATAAAATTAACAATTCTATTTATTAAATGACAAATTAATTTTAGTAAATAAATTGTAGTGTTATTTTAATAGTCTCAAAATAGAAACTAATTTTTGTTGCCTTTAGAAATTTTTTATTCGGAATATTTATTATAATTGATGAATTTATTATTTTATTTCGTTGAGAAAAATAAATAATTTCTATATTTTCATTATATTTTGTAATTTAATGTTTATTTACCAAAATATTAGTGTTATATAAATAAAAACATTACAAGGTAGTACTTACATAACCGTAAAGACCATTTCCAAAAGGTCCATTGTAACCACCATAAATATAAGGTACCTACATATAGTTATTACATTATTAAACATTATCAATACTTATTATTTAACAATTAAAAATAGACAAAACTATTTATTTACAGTGGATTGTACACCATCACATTCCGTATTACAACCAGTGTTACATCCAGCATTACAACCAGTATTATATTCAGGGTTGTAACCAGTATTATGTCCAGCATTGTAACCAGTGTTATGTCCAGCATTATAACCAGCATTGAAACCACCATGAAAGTTGTAGCCCTTCAAGTAAAAACTTAATTGTTAAAAAATCATAATAAACTTAAAATTCTAATAATGCCATTTGTAACTGTAAAAAAAAGGAATTTCTAATAATTTGCGTACTTTATTGATTCCACAACCAATTTGAACCTCTGTACTGTTTTTTTTTAATAAATCAAACTATATATTATTATAAATGATCTATTTTACAGAAAAATGTAAGTATACGTTATATTTTATTTTAAACTAAGCGATTTATATATTAGAAATAAAAAAAAATTTTAGTTAGTAAAAAAAAAAATTTCAGTATAGACTTCAAATAAACTATTTTTAAATCTTAGCTCTTGTACTTACGATAGGTCCAACATTTTTTGAAATGTCTACCTAAAAAAAAAATCACAAATAAAATATTTTACATTTTGCTAGACACATAATAGGGTTTTAGTTATAATTTTATTTTTGGTAATTATATTCAACAGTTTATTATTATTATTATTATTGGGTTATGAATTCTATAAGTAGAATGTTACATTTATATTTGCATAATAAACCACTTTAATAGACATATATTTATCAAAATAGTTCATTCTAAAAATTAAAAATTAATTTTTATACTAATATTTTGTTAGACGTAAGTTATAGGGTGCTATTCAGTTCCAAATATATATTTATATATATATTTTTTTTTTTTGCATAAATTTGTGTTCATTTAAAATATGTAATTTGTAAGAAAAGAAATATTTTTATTTCAAACATTTTTGTTCTAAAATACAGGTCCGAAAAAGATAAATAATACAAAGCTAATTTAAAAAATAGCGGATTATTGTACTCTTGAAAATTCAATGTTCGTGAATTAAGCATTATAAAGCACCAGCTATATGAATGGATAAATTTAAGTATTGTAAATTCATATTTAAAAAAACTACGAAATAAGTTTTTATTTTTAATTTTCTACTACTTACATAAATAATACAAATTTAGTATTAATTTAAAAAAAAAACTTACTGATTTTGAGAAAGTAACGGCAGCATTTGCATTATATGCATTCTAAAAAAAAAAAATTGTTAAGTAAATTTTTTTAAGGAAAAAAAAATCTTAATTTGTTTGATATTTATATCATAATGAAAATAAATATAAATGTATTTCTATAAAAATAAATATATTATGTTCATCAATTAAACTAAATAAAATATTTAGAAAATATTTTTGACGGTCTCCAATAAAATATTAACTCACTTGGGCAATTAATAGATATAAAGCTAGCAAAATACCAGCGCGAGCCATGTTTTTCAGTTTTTACAAATGTATTCGCAAAAAAAAAAACTCTTTGAGAAGAAGTACAAATTAGTGTATAAACATAATATGAACTGATTTTGTACACCATCTGCTTTTATGGTTTTCTAATGCAACAATTTTAACACATCGAATTATCACGATTTTTATCTGGTATCATATCTAGTCAAACAATGACAGAATTACAATTTGAATAAAAATGTTATTTATATAAGTTTGATTTAGCAGTAATGAAATAAGGCTTGATGCAGCAACACCAAGTAATCATTACGGTTCTCTTGAATGAAATTATAATTTTCTGAATTAAAACTTAAGGTCATTTTTCATGGCCTTAAAACTTGATGTCTTGAAAAAAATAACGTGATAACTTAAAATATTTTATCTTTAGTATCAATTTATACGATATCATATCTTAAATTAAATTAATCAAATTAACTGGGGATGTGCATTTTGCATAACGAAATAACTTTTTTTTTTTTTTATTGAGAAAAATATATAATTTCTTCAATAAAACACAATAAGTAATTGTGATAAATAATACAAAAAATAAAACAGTTCTCATTTTCATAGTTAAATTATAATACTATATTAGACACATTTTATTTCATATAATATACTATAAAAAATAAAATGTCAATGAAAAAAATTCTGCTGCTGTTTTCATTATTTATTACATGTTTGAACAATTTAATCGAGTAAGAATCCGTTAAATTTTTTGCAGACAATGCATAAATTATTTATACTGACATCAACAACATAATATTATACATCGTACTACATAAATATGTACGTACTATGTGTATTTTAGAAATAGATATAATAAAATAGACATAATAATAATCATATTTTAAATTTAAAACTTAAGACTTTTAAAATTATTTTGATTGATGCACCTTATCAATTTTATATTGAAATGAGCTTTTCTTAAGTTTGTAAAAAATATATACACTGGGTAATCACCAATTCATAAAATTGATTAGCTAAAACTATTACTCTGTTTATTTGTTGTGGGTGAAAAATTCAACTAAAAAATTAATGGTATAAAATTGATTACGCAAAATATATTGCATACATTCATTTTTGATTAATGGATTAAAAATAAATAACACCATAAAAATTAAAAATACTATGTTTTATTAAATAAATTTACTTAAAGAGAGATCTGGTGATAAAATGTTAAGTACTTGTAATGTTTCATAATCGTTTACTAGATAGCGCACTCATAATAAGCCTTGTACCTACACTAGGTTTACATTTAGTCGCAAACGTCAATATCTTATTAAAATACTTATTAAAAAACTTTATAAAAAATATTTAAATTTATTTGCATTAAATATCAGTTATCAATTAATAGAAAATAATTGTGTAAAACAAATTTTTTTAAACTATTTTACATTTTACTCTACAATAAAAAATCTCAACTTATAATATAAATTAATAAATTTAAATTCAAGATAATAATATTTATCTAATAAACACTGAAAATAAAAAATATATTAAATAATTTTAAAATATCAAATAAATCCAAATCATAAATTTAATATACATAACTTTTTTTTTTCAAAAAAAAAAAATTAAACCTCTTAACAAGAATTTATAAGCCTATAAGTTTATTCCTATAAGATATTTAAAATTTTAAATTTTAACATTATAAATGATTAATCTTAAATAACATTTTTTTTTTTTATCTAAAAATTGAATTTATAAGGTCATAAAATAAGTATTGTATTGTTATTTATGCGACGGGATTGTTTTATGTATATCATGCAATCTGAAAGTTATTTAAGTACATACTATCGCAGAGTTCTTTAACCTAATATATTTTCTCTTTACAAAAACTTACAATTCTTATTTTGTATAACCTTGAAAATATGAAATTGTTTATATTAAAACTTAAAAAAATGTATCAACAGAAATAAACTATTACTCATTTGAGAACTTTTAAAAATTTAATAATTCATCGTTATCTATTGAAAATTATAATAAAAATACAGAATTTTATATAATAATTGTTTTTGAAAAATGATAGATTTAAACAAAATTAATAGTTCAGAAATTTTTATAATTTAGAAACATTTTTATAAATAACGTTTCAAACATAATTCTTCAAAATTTAATCATTTTTGAATATTTGGAAATTGTCTACTCATCTTTGAGTTAAATTAGCTATACATAAAATTCAAAAAATAATAATTATGATACACAAAATATACTTATACCACCGTCTTCATTGTTATCGTTCTAAAAATGTTACTAAAAAACCCAGCAAAGGGGGGTCGCAGCACAATGGTGATGTGGCATAGTTGGATCAAGTATAATGATATCTGACAGTGATTAAAATTACTATAAAAAAAAAAAACGCTTCGATGCAAATCTTTAAATAGTGTTTAATTTTAAAAAATTGGTGTATTATTCCAAAAGCTACATGATCTGCTAGTTCCTTATTAATATTTTGATTAAGATAAAGTATGTCGAATGAAAAAGAGATTATTAAAAAATATTATTTCTCATAAAAAAATTGTATTGATCCATACATTTTTTAAAAAGTTATAGCCTTTTAAATTAAAAAATGTACAATATAAAATCGAGAAATTTCACACAAAAATAGCATTTGGTAGCCGTTTTCACCATGAAAACAAGTCCAGAGGTCAAATTTTTTTTTCATAATAAAGTACATTACATTAGCTTTAATTTAAGATATATATATAAAAGTGTCAGACCTTCTGGATCATTTTCAAAAGTTAAGTTGAAAAAGTTAATTTTTTGTACAAAAGTTGTCATATTAAATCCCCCCTTGTAGGCAGGTTAAGTGTCAAATTTACAAAAAATATATACCAAAAGATATATAAAGACATCAAGCATCTATAAAAAAAAAATTATATTGATATGTTCATTTTTGAAAAAGTTACGGCAGTTTTTATTAAAAAAAATTGAAAAAATTTCAAAAATTAGCGATTTTTAAATTTGTAATTTTTTTGGAGGTTTCCCCCATTTACGGGGAACGAGGTAAATTTTTACAATTTTTGAGGGTAATGTCTTCGACTAGATACGATTTGTGATCTTTTGACGTATCGTTGAATAAAATCCGTTCGGTGAGAGCTGAGAAAAAGTGGTAACAGACACAAAAAAAAAAAATAAACACATCTTAGTAAAACCAATATCTTCCCAGCTTCGCATCGAAGCTAAAAATTAGTTTCCGAATTTTGTGGATTTTTCTATTAAAAGAATAAAGTTACAAAAAAAAAAACATAGTTTCAAAACTAGGTAAAACCATTTTTTGAAATTTTTCAGGAACAACAAAATAAGAGAATGAGGTTAAGATTTTACTCAAAGATTTTATAATATATATTTATTATTTGGGAGATTTATTCCATTTACGGAGAACGTAGGATTTTTTTTCAATTTTTGAGGTTAATGTTTTCGATTAGATACAGTTTGTGATTAATGGTGTATTATTCATCAAAATCGATACAGTCAGAGCTGAAAATGAGCGTTAACAGATACAAAAAACAAAAAAACATCATAGTAAAATTAATACCTTGTCAGCTTTGCATCTAAGCAAAAAACAACCACCCTACATGTATAATTCACATGTTGTGATAATTAAATTTGCATATATTTAGATACAAAACTATTATATTAAGGAAAAATGATGAGGTTGGACTATTTCTTGACACTTAAAAATAATTTGATATCACATTAAATAAAATTTTCTGAAATTTTGAAGTGCCTTGGACCACCCCCCTCTCCAGATATTAATGCAAGAAGAATGATATTTTATAGCTTTTATTAAAATTTTCACTACTTATTTCGAAAGTAGTTGTATTATTACAAAATATTCCCACGACCATATTGTCACTTGGTTCATAGTTGCGGTAGAAAAGTCACCTTTGCACCCTTCTTTATCGACTGAAGATTGAACGATGCTCAATCGCCATCAATAAAGATAATCGGATTAAGTTAAGTAAAATCAAAACCGTTTGTGTTGCTTTTTCCTATAGTTCCCTTCCCTTGACACCACCAACCAAGTATAAAACACATATAAATACCAACCCTGATCATGATAATCGGTTATTACGTGGGTGCTCTAGCGGCGGCGAGAGGTGACTAAACTGAGATTAACGCTAACAGATACACGTGCAGGACACGCGTTTACCAATAAACCCTCTATTCATGACAATAGGCGTCTCATAACATTAAGGTCTGAAAGGATGCAAAAATTTAAAAGTCGTTTTTTTTATAATAACAAAACTCGATTAATGAAAAATTACTTATAAAAGTATGTCACATTTGAAATTTAAAATATTAATACACGCAATATATATAATTATAGTGTTTAAAAACCATTATAGATAAATCTATAGCTTTTAAACATTAAAAAACAAATTATATTCAACCCACAAATCAGAATTAGATGACTGTTTCTTGTGTATTTAAAAATAGAGCGAAATTCTTCAATCATTTTCATTTTTTATTATTTTATTTTGTTGCGTTTATATAAAAATAAATCAACTATACATAAATTTGTTTCGTACCACATCTAGGCGCACTTTTTTATTTGGCTGCCCTTGTTTTACAAATTGTTGTAGGTATTTTTTAAGGAATTTTATTTCGTGAATAAAAATTGTATTTTATGGTAGAAGTGGTTAAAAAATACAATAACGATTATAATATAATACTATATTGTAGTATTTCTATTCTATTTAATTTATACTTAATAAATAAAACTAATACATTTTTGACACATCAGTTATCACTTTTATCCGCTTAGTTTATTAGAACTATGACAATTTATTATCTATTGGTTACAGAAAGAAGTAAATTTAAGTATGAAATAAATTTATTATCTATTAATTTTCTATTTCTTATTTTAAGGATATTCATTATCTAAAAGCAATAGAAAAATATTCGAGTGCATATTATAAGAATTTTAGATTCATAATTGTAAGCAATTATTTTATAGTTACCGTATTCATTTACTTTCGAAATAATTTAAGCAAAAATAAGAGAGCGTAAAAGAAAATTAAATATTAAAAATTATTGTATAAAAAAATAGATAAAAAAAAATTAAATAAAAATAAATCAA